TTTCTAGTTGGTGATTGTAATGAGTACTGCATGAGGCAGTCCTTAATATTGATTGTGCTTAAATTATATCAAGTGTTACTTCTTGATTCTAATATATATGGCTGGAAGGGAATCATGCCGCTTGGTTTTTTTAGTGGATTGGTTTCTTATTTTATATTTACTGTTTCTTAAATTGTGCTGAATCTATTCTGTTTTGTTTTAGTGTATTTTGTTTTGCATGTCACTCTCTTTTCTTTTGCATCAAAGATGGTTTAAAGATAATGCTGATTACTATGCCTGTGTAATGGACTCCCCATGGAATTCCATGGTTCTGTGCCACCCACTCCTACATGCAAATTTCCTGTAGCATGAGGCATACAAAGCATGACAACTTCTCACTCATGTTTCAAAGCACAGTCTCTCTTTTTTCAGAGCTATTTGTTATTGTCTCCACCATCACAAGTTTAAAAAAGGAAAGTTAATTAAATATGGAACAAGACTGAGCAACATCTTTTAAACCATCATGTCATTAGAACTGGATTCCTCCGAGAGCTGCTTAAAAGGGGTTTGAGAACAATGACTGTTCAATCAGATATTTATGGGCATAGTTATGTAAACACACTCTTTATTGTCTATGTATATTTAATATAATTATCAGTTTTGTACTCAGACTCTCCGGAGACACAACAATCAGTGTTGCTTTGAAAATGTCAGCAGAAAAGACAATTATTAGGCTTGCAAATATTCATAAATTATATTTTAAAATCCTGTAAAATGTATCCTGTGCAAAGAGTTTTTTTGCAGTAACTGAATAATTACTGTATTTCTTTGATTAAAATTCATATTGAGCAAAACTTGAGAGATGTAGGAGATTGCAGATCATAGCAAATGAGATCAGAAGCATTCTGGACAAATGAAAAATTGCTATGAAAAGGAATCATTTTATAACCATTATGTATATGGATGTAAGACTGAAATCTTGATTCTGTGAAACACATAAATGGACACCTGTATTTTTTCATTTACTTGTGTTGCTGTTTAATGATTATTTTAAGGCAGTGCCAAATAGATTTAATTGATCTTAGGTAAACTTATCTGGGAATTCAGCATGGGGAACCTCAACCTTCTACTATAAAGTTTTGAATTTGCTCAACATTTGGCCTCAAATTATGCAGTAGTTTTACACCGATTCCTTGATTGTTCAACTCAGATGGAATAAAATTATGCAGATATACTGAAATGACTAAAGGCTTGGGCTCAGGATTTCACACACACACACACACGCACACACACACACACACACACACACACACACACACAGAGAGAGAGAGAGAGAGAGAGAGAGAGAGAGACAGACAGAGAGACAGAGAGAGACACAGACACAATTGAGCCTTTGTGATCTGAAATTGACTAAATTTGTTGTCCTGTTGGAAATATTTTTCCTTGGTGACATTGTTCGCCTATATAAATTGAGTCTTATTCAAATTTCAGTCCAATTGAAGCTTTAGATCATATTTAGAAATAATATTATGTCCTTTAGAAATGGGGAAAAAAATAAAATAATTCTGTCCTTGCCTTAACTCTAGGGGCATTTTGCAAAGGAAAGTGAAACTTTGCAAAGAGAACATTTTATTTTCCAGAATTGCAAAACGGCCCTTTGATTGTCAATTGATCTGTAGTGTATGAAGAAATACATTAGATAGAAGTAATGATATAGTCCTGTCCATGAATCCAGGAGCTTCCCATGAAACCATTTCCATTACCCAAGGCACTCTGCTCGCTCACTGTGGCAAAGAATATTCTGTTTTCATACCAAGTTATTTCTAATTGTCACCAATTATGATTCATTTGCTTTTATGTGTCTTGCCTGTCACAATATTAACATTGCTAAGGCTTCCCCTTTGCGGGCTATGAAAATCTGTTGTGACATCTAAATAACGAAAGATTCAATCAAGGGATGTATTAATTGTTAATTTTGTTATAAATAGAGGGGGTATCTTAGCATATAAAGAACAGCTCTTTCTTCTTTCTGAAGGACAGTGTTTAAATGAGTAAGAATAAAAGATAGGTGCATTTGCCATATCAAAATTACAGCTCAATTCCAGCCCGCATTAGACACTTGTCTTCTCCAACTATTTATCTTTACTATCTAGCTAGAGCCATTATCTAATAAAGCCCCGCCTGATCTCACCTGGTCTTACTCTTAAATAGCAAGGAGTTTTATGGCACCTTAAAGACCAATAAATTTATTATGGCACAATCTTTAAAGTGCCACAAGGCTCTTGGTTGATTTTGCTGCAAAATATTAATATGGCAGTCCCGCTGGGGATATCCTACTGCTATTTGACAGAGTTGGGAAAGAATTGTATTGTGGTTCTAGATTGTCTGGTTGAATATTTTCATGTTTGTTTTTCCAGCATTGCAGTTAGTTGTGGTTTAAGTAGATTTGTTCTTTTCAGAATTGGAGCAGCTTATCCTTTTAGTCTAGACCAGGGGTAGGCAACCTTGGCTCTTTTATGACTCGTGGACTTCAACTCCCAGAATTCCTGAGCCAGCTTAGCTGGCTCAGGAATTCTGGGAGATGAAGTCCACAAGTCATAAAAGAGCCAAGGTTGCCTACCCCTGGTCTAGACATTCAATGCATAACTGCAGGAGCTTACATATTCCTCTTCAGAAGCTCTGAGGAGGCTTGTACATCTGACAATCAGTTGATAGCTGTATCCCAATTTGACTATTGTAATACTTATTCCTACAATCTTCCGTTATAAACCAATAGATGGTGGCAAATAGTTGGCATTTTCTGCATCTTTCTGCTGCCATCTTTCTGCTGCCATTTCCAGAGTTTTGGAACTATCCTTTCTCAAAATTGTTGGGGGGTTCGAAGCAGTGTTTTCTGCCTTATATTTTCTCTGAGTATTCCTAATTAAGGTGGCTGTAACCTGCTTGAATCCTGTCATGCATGTCTTCCATTTCCCTTTGTCTCCTCTCTGCTGTGATGTGATGATCCGTGTCATGATTGTGGCTTGCTTTGGCTTGGATGACCCACTGGGAAGGACTATGTATTAGATACCCAATGTATTCATACAGAATCTCTATCCTTTTTTTCCTTTTTCAGCAAGCCGAGACCCCAATCAGAGTAAATACTCTGATGAGCCTTGGAAAACTCAAATCTCACTGGGAAGTTTGAATGTCTTTCATAATCTATTTAAACAGCTTTTAGAGCATCGTCAAAAATTGGCAACTAATTAGAAACGAAAGTCAATTCAGGCATTTTCTCTTAGAAATTTGCTCTTCAAATGAAAAGTTGAGTAAGACCAAGATATTTTTGTTCCCTCACCCTGAATGGAAAACTTAAAACAATATAAATAGTGTCTTCGCATTTTCTGTCGCTGTTTACTATATTGCTATATTTGCATAACTAGATACTCAACACTCTTGTATGTTTTGCAAGCTGTCATGACATAAGAAGCAAGTAATACGCTGTGTTTTGCTTGCTAACATATTTTTGACATATTTTTGCTTTTGATTATAAGATTGCATTTTTCCCAGCTACCATCTGTCTCAACTCAGTGGCACAAACACAGTAGGGTGTAATAATTTTAACATACTTGAACTTGATGAAAAACATGCTATTTACAGTTTTAACCAATATGTTACAGTTTCACACATGAAGACTGAAATAAATGCCTGTACTTTTTTTGTTTTATTAAAGAGATATCTGTCATGAAGAATAAATATTCAATCCAAATTGGCAGAGATGATTACTACTTTAATGGAATTAAAATTGGCTTGGGGTTTATTATAAATAGAATCTGGCACTGGACTGATTGTGTAAGTACAGTTGCTTATGTTTATCCTTTTGTCAGCAGAAATCAGATTCTTTATTAAATATGGCCTTTTCTTTTCTTTTTGTACTTGGCAACATATGCATAAAAATATCCAGGCTGGAGAGAGAAATATGACACATTTTTCCTTGAAATCCCTGGCAAGCAAAGACTTTTTAAAAAGTGTTCTTCCAGCCTTTCCATCTGTGGAGACTTGGAAAGTAACACTCGGCAAACTAGACATCTCACTTGAAATCTGCCCTGGCAGGAAAAGACAAGCAATTCCAGCCCTTTGTGATATTCCATTGCTCTAATCATTGCACGAGTGTTCAGCGGAATATCACAAGTCTAATATGGAAATTGGGTTGGGAATGAATGTTCATATGAGCACATTTCTGGACAAAAGAAAAATGAGAAGGCCCTGATGGTATAGTCTCCCTTTGCTCCTACTTGGGACCAACAGGTTAATTCAGTTCTCAACAACCTTTCTCTGTTAAAGTTGAATGATCTCCTAAAGGAAATAACAGGCTGGGCTGTTTACTGAAGCACTTTTTCTGGTCATGTCCTCTACTGCCATCTTTGTCAGCACTGAGGACAAGGGACTCGCAAGCAGAGAAACCTATGTCAGTGCTGTGGCTGGAATTTAACAAGGTTACCACCTGTAGATGAAAAGATGAGGGATCCCTTCCATAATAACGTATCGTTCCAATAGCGTTTGAGACTTAAATGTACAGGTTTAGAAAAAGGATAGGAGTAAGGGTGAGATTCTGAGCACATTTACTGGGAGTAAACCCAGCAAACTCAACAGGCTTTCCATTTCTGAAAAATACACTTGATATTGCCAATATGCAGGGAGATAAGACTTGATTTAAAACCTGATAGTCTGCACATCATTTAGGGGTTGAATGCTTGCAAGCCAAATCACTCACTCGCTAACTCTACAGTAATTCCTTGTATTTCTCAAAAAGAAAAAAATATATTGTTATATAGGGTAAAAGAATATACAGTTAACATATACCTAAAATATTAAGGTATCAATTGAAGTACATCAATTAGAATACATTTATCATGCATGTGTGATATGAAAATGGGTGACGCTGATTATGAAAATTATGAGACACAATTCATTTGCAAAGGGGAACTTTTTTAAATAAATGAAATAATCTGAGACAAAAGAAAAGATACATATTATGTAATGGTAAACTGAATTTATTTCTTCTTGGAAAACCATTCCAGTAATCTCCAGGTTCAGATTGCAGAGTAAACATTAATAACAGTAACATACAGGTTAGTTCAACTGATTCAAAAATTTGGCCATGTGACATCATTAAGGAAAAGTCTTGAACACTCAAAAGCTTCAAATGGTATCCAGGAAAAAAAGTTTCTTTGACAATCTACATAACAACTATTGCATATATGGTAATGCTATCTGTCATATCGCAAGGCTTACAAATATATACAGGCCATATTCAGCTGGGGGTCCTGCTTGGAGAGTCTTCTTCTTGTTGTTCTTCTTCTTCTTTAGCACTAAAAATATTCTTGAATTCATCCATGTGAATACCAAAAGACAGAGATTGTAGACATAAGCTTGAACAAAAGGAAGGCCAAAAGGTTTGTACTGTATCACTGCTTATTTCTTTTTTTCCTTAAGCCATATTTCCCTTTTATATGTTGTTGGTATTATAATTATTCTCTTAGTCCTGCTTGAATAGGGCCCAAGTCCACTTGTCTTTATAAGACCATTTTAGTATCAGACAACATAATACATGTGCAACACTTTATATACAGGAAGTCTCTCCGGTGCTCAAAAGTTCAAACACATGAACATCCAACAGTTTCCATAATACAGGTTTTATGGTACAATACAATGTTTCTGAATAATATATATTAACAATGAGAGTCTCGTGCAAAGAGTAAAACATGTTCCCTTTTTTTGTCCTGCAAAGATTCCTCTTCTGAAGAACTGGGCCTTGCACTAACTGCTATGTTGGGTCATCGTATGATTCTGTGAAGAAAGAAGAAGAAAAGGAAAAGCACTATGCTGAAATATACCAGCAATGCTACAGAGAGATTGCATAATATAAGATAGTAAAAACCATGTTAAATGGTATGTATTGTGCAAAATACCAAGCATGTTTTATAAAAAATGAATATACGTCTCTGAACATACTCTAGGCCTATATTTGGCTAAATATCCATATACAAATTTAACCTGTAATGTCACATTTAACCTGTGTTAAAGAATATGGAACTAGCTAAATTGTACATTAGAAAATATAAGCAGATCTTGCTTATATGGTGCTGATGGTGTAGCCTCCGGCTTTTCTAACATGGGACTGTCACAGATCCATTGTAAAAGACTGGCTGATGATAAATTTCAATATAATTTCAGAATACACTTTGTCATGTATGTGACACCTTATGTAGTAGATAGAACTGTACTCAGAAAGATGGATGAAAGTCCAGTAAGAGTTCCAAAGAAGAGCAAAATTGGGTGTGGCCCCACTGACATGAGAGCTCTTTAATATAGCTACTGTTTTAATCCCTATATGCTGCCCAGAGTCATTGTCATGGATTGGACAGTTGCATAAACCAGGGAAATAAAGAAATAAATAATTATATTTCTAAAAGCAGCCAATAATCCATGACCACATTCCTAGGTTCATTTAATAGGAATTATATCCCACCATGGGAGAAAATTCTAAGCAAATACTAAACCTCATAATGTATTATGCAATACAAGGCTATTGGCCAGTAGTTTACGAGAAAAAAAAAATTCAATACAGTTAAAAATGAAACACTGCATCATTTATTTGATTTCATGTATACAATACTATTTTCTACATTAATTCATTTCAAAATGATAGTGAAAAAGCAGTGATAGAATAAGGCCTGAAAAACACAATTATATTTAATACATTAATACTAACTATTGAGACATAATATAGATTATTTAAAGTTAATATGCAAACTGTGTGATACAGCTTCATGGATAACATGATGCATACAATATTGCCCTTGCAATTTGTGTAATAAAGCACAACTATATGCAAAAGACATTTTTTCAGGTGTTTAGACTGTTTACAAGTAAATTGTGTGCCTGTGTGCAGGGGAGATAATCCATGTGATAATACTCATACAATGGGTTTTTGTGATAAGTATATTGTTTGATTAGGAGACATTCCAATTCTATATAATCAGATTGATTTAAATACAGAAATATCCCAGGTCTGATACATAAGATCAAGCTAGAACTTTACAATATGCATATTTCAATGTGCCCGGAATCTAGAAGCTGTACTTCAAAAGCATGTATCAGCAATTTAAAGCTTCTGCTTCGATGTGATATCGAGATTATCATATGCTGCGTACCAAGTGCCAAATTAGAGATCAATCCTTTTCAAATATGGTTTTTAAAAAGACAAATAAGGAGCATGACTGAAGTGAATGGCTCAACTGTATAAGTGCCACATAAATAACATGCTCCAGTCCTGTTTGACTGGATGGGCATATGTCATATGCATGGCAAAATGTGTGTCTGTAGGAGTCTTCGTGTATAAGTAATCCTGACTTACCAACAGTAACTGGGACTGGTAACTCCCTTGCTATGCAATGTGGTCATAAGGTGTAAGGTCACCTAACTGCACTGACTCACAACGATGGTTCTGGCAATCCCAGTTGAAGTTGTTAGATGAATTCTGCACAGTTACAGTGATCCCCATTTACAACCTTCTGCTGGCTTCCCTATGAACTTTGCTTGTTGGAAGCCAGCAGTAAAGGTCCTAAGTAGTGATCATGTAACCTTGGGATGCTGCAACATCGTAATTGTGATCCAGTTGTCAAATGGTAATCAAATTACTGTGGTGTGTGTGTGAGTATGTGTATGTATATATACGGATGACATCAAGACGGCAGATACTTTTATGGTTCTATTTTCCAACTGCTTGTTAAAATAGCCAAATTCTAGTAATATCTGAAAGGGGATAAGCAAATGAGCAAGGAAAGCAAAGTATTTGATGCATTGTCTTTTAGAATGGGTTAGGGTACAAAAATATGAAACCTGGCTGATCATTATTTTTACAACTGTTTTAAACCAGAGGGTGTTCTTCTTCATTGCATGACCCAAACCAATCAGGGATCCCTTTTTAGGTGTGATCAGGCCATAGCAGCACCAAAGGACTTTATAACAACCTATTGATTTGCTTAGTGGTAATTTCAGTGATTGTTAAACAAATTCTATTTTTCATTGTCTTCAAACTGAATGAATATAATGTGGGATATTTCCCTATCAGCCTGGTAATAATAGGTTCTGTGCTTCCTGTTTAACGTATTGATGTTGGTAATTTGCATTCCCAACATTAAAAAATCTGATGTAGTTCTAGTTAACTAGGAACAAGCGGCAACAGAACACAGATGGGTACAGATTTAAACCCAATATCTTCATTTGCACAGTATTCTCTTTCAAGGAATGAAAATTCTGATGTATATCCAAGTGCGACCCCTTACTCTCTCATGACTCAATTAAAGTGCATATTGGGTTGTTTCAGCAAGAGGGAATGGAAAGAAAATGGAATCTTCAAGCAGCAGTGGAATGGATCAGTTTAACACTCTTTCTGGGGCAATTAAATGATTTTCAGCAAAGGAACAGCTTAAACAACTACATACCCTTTTTAGATTCTTTTTACCTGAAACATCTAGCTATAAATCGGCTGCACTGTCTAAATAAAAGACACACGAGCTTTACTGCTGCAAGAGCATTGCTAATACTTAATTATCCCAATGGACAATATCCATTCTTCAGAAAGTCTGTAGTTGCTATCTAGAGCTCTACCCGAGGCTCAACTTCCAGCATAGAACAACTCTGTACACATGAGGCTCTTTTCTTCTATCATAATCAACAGTAGGAGAGAACTGTAATGCTGGATCATTGCCTATGTGTTTTAATGAGTCCTCTTACCTCCATTTTTAAAAATCCTGGATTCACATGTGGCCAGTTTAAGGATTAGAAAAGCCACATAGCACTATGTGACACAATTGAAAGTAGCATTTCATGTGTGCTCAGGACTCAAACCTCAATAATTTTTTTAATTAAAGAAAAAACACACAAAGGCACTAATGTGGTAGATGCAAAATAAACTATGGAATTATTCTTCACTAAGCTCTGTTTTGGGGTCCCATAGCTGATATAGCCTATTGCACAAAAGCATTCTCAGGAGCTAAGAGATGCCCTGATTTAAATTCAAGGCAAAATGATGGAGAAAAATCACTGAGCAACGCAAAACATAAAGATGAGTATGGATCCAGAAAATGCACGAATGAGATTAGAGTTCCTCTTGCCCGTTAAAACTCTTTAAATTTTTCCAGAAATGGATCCTGATACTTCAATGACTGCATAAAATGGAAAACCTGGGATGGAGGCCACTGTGGGAAATGGAGGCAGCAAAGTTTAGGAAAATTCTTTTTGCTTCTGCCTGCACCTTGGATCCAAGTCACACTCAGTTTATATACCTTGGGAGCAGCCTCCTAATATTAATGATTTATATGTAAATTCTTTGTATTCTAAGGCATGAACCAAGCCAAAGAGAAACACTTGATTAGGGAGAAAAACTGCCTGCTCATATCGGTTATAACTTTATGAGACAAAAAAGGTGAAAGATTGAAGGGAAGAGATGAGGTAAGAAATAATCATTAATCCCACAGAGAGCCACATTATATTCTAGGAGGGGGGACCGTCTATGGAGACCCCATGTCTAAGAACTGAAAATTGCAACCATTAATCCCAGTTATGAACGGTTGGAGGCTTTGTTTTAAGAATGTTTCTTTTCACAAAAAAAGATTGTGTTTAAAAATTTAGGGCAAATTTTTCCTCTATTATCCACACAGTAGCTCTCTGCTCCATATTCTCTTTTCATGTGCTCAGAACACCTACTTCCATGACAATGGGAATTGATGTAAGTGGGGAAGTCAGAAGACGGAGCTCCTGTTGATCTGAACACGGGAGTTTTCAGTGCACAGAGAAAACCAATAAAAGTTTCAGTGTAGCTCAGAATGTGTTTTGCCCTTTATAGGACAAACAGTACATTTGAAACAGATGTTTTTATCATTGTTCTTCTGGAAAGTGTGCAATACTAGATAACTTCCTCAAATTTATTCTCTCTCTTTCTCATACATGCAAATTAAACAAATCCTTGTTCCCATACTTCCTCCAGACTTCTTCATATGTTATATTTTCCTGTATTTTTTTAGCTTCTTTCTGATGTTGAAAGCTCCCTAGAATATGCTGTAGCTACTCATAGTTTGAAGGGGGAAAAACCCTAACATTATAAATAATTTATATTGCAAATTTAACTCTGATTTGATATTGGGGTTTTTTTTTGTCTTTCCTTTTCCATTGTTACAGAACAGTTACAAGTCCTTGACTTGCAACCATTTGTTTAGTAACCAACTGGAGTTCCAATGGCACTGAAAAAAGTGACTTATGACAAGATTGTCACACTTATGAACATCACAACGTCCCATGGTCATGTGATTGTGATTTGGGTACTTGGTGACAGTATGCATTTATGATGGTTGCAGCTTCCTGGGGGTCATGTGATCACTGTTGCAATCTTCCCAGACGGCCTCTGACACACAAAGTCAATGAGGATTTGCTTAATGATCGCGTGATTCACTTATAAACTGCAGTAATTTGCTTAATAACCATGGCAAAAAATGCTGTAAAATAGGGTGCAACTGACTTAATTGTATTGCTTAACAACGGAACTTCTGATCTCAATTGTGGTCGTAAGTCAAGGACTACCTGTACTTCCTTTCATATACACATACTCAGACTAAAAACTTCAGTATAAAATATATTATAATCCAATGGACTGTGTAATGAACATCTACCACATTCCAAAACTCCTTAGTGAATTTTACAAAGATACTTTCTCAATGAAATTAGTGGGACTGCTATATTTGCATAATTATATATTCAGTTTTTTTGGCTGTTTTATTTGTAGTCAT